TTTTGCTCCCACTCAAACCATGTAGTCAGATCAGCATGATATCTCCTCAAGAGAAGGTGGCTGCCGTGAAATCTAAACTGGTAAAGATCAGTTTCTAAGCTTTATACCTTCCTGGATGTGGGGTTGCAGGCTAGCCCTACGTAGTCTGGACTTTTCTAGGGTGGAGTCACAATTCATAATGGCAGCTTTAGAACAAGAAACTTGTTGAGTTCCACATCTAGTATTTAACCATTGTGCAGGCATAAAACAACTCTGATCTGGAGGAATGCCAGGAGGTGTAACAGGGCTGTGAATCAGTGAGGCTTGGACTGGAGAACTTGGCTTTGAGAACTTAGGCTTTGAGCCTGACTGATCATATGCATCAGTGCCTCTCAGGAATGCAGTGCTCTCCAAATCCCAGTACTCTCAGCCCTAACTGAGCTGCAGCTGAGCTGAGACCTCAGGCAGGGCAGACCCCTTCTCATGTGCAAGTCCTGTGATTCCACTGCAGACGTGGCTCCTACTAGTGGCATTGCTTCTGCCTTCCCTGTGTCATCTGGACTCTGGCAAACTGGCCATTGGTGCATCTTCTTCCAAGGAGCTCTTTGAGCCCCTGCCCATAGCAGGGATGTGTCCTAGAGCCTCCAGTTGGGGATTGAGGGTCTGTCTGAGGCAAGCTAAAACCTTGTTGCCACTGCAAGAAGTGTATTCCCCAGCACCAGCTCTGGAGCTTCCTTGATCACACCAAGAGCCTATTCTGTTCACAACTGTTTCAAAGCTTTTGCTTTCCAGCTGGGTTTCCTACATGTTTCCCCAAGCTGTATGTTGCCCCATCATTCTCTCCCTTTAGCACTGAGCTGTCTTAAGAGCATGTTACCAGGAACAGATGTAGTAGGGTATGTGTGTGGGCCTGGTGTCTATATCCATGTGGTAGCTAGCTTGCAGACCAGGTCAGTTAGCTATTAGCACCACGTCACATCAGTTTGGTTCTCACATTGAAGCAGCCAATGAACTGAACTTGAAGCCATATTGCTGAGCTGTAGCTGGCTGCTGCTGGCTGGTTCCTGAGCTTCACTTGGTCCTAGAGCAGCTCCTCCGGCACTGGAGGCTGCAACTCCACCCTCAAAATGAGATGGAAACTTACTGCAGACAGCTGTAGTCTAAAAAGGCAGTTCCTCTGGGATACTGAAACATGTTTTAAGATTTTAGTTTGATCTGAGCCATGTCAGTGTGCTAGCAAGCATCTAAAGCTCTAGGCTGTTCTTCAAGAAGGTGAAGCTTTTGGCTTAGGACTCACAGGTGGGGGTGGAAGACACTGGACAGCATACCTACACCTGATAACTTGCAATATAATGTTTTACACAAGCTATCAAAAATTAATTTGTAGCTGAGGCTCCCTGCTCCCTGAACAGAGGTAATTCCTGCCCCACAGGGCTGGCTGGGAAAGGCACCAACTGGACAGAAGCCTGCTCTTGGTGAAACTGCAGTAAGTAGCAGGCAGCCTAGCTGCTCCTCCTGAGGAGGGAACGATGAGCTGTACTTGAGCTCTTGGCTGTGTACCAGCAGGAGGGAATATGTTGGTTAGAACAGCAACATCAATGTGTGAGGAGGAGGGAGGTGGAAAGCAGTTTTGAAATGCTACTGATACAGCAGCATCTAGAGTGTACCCTTCTGTGAAGCTGTCACAAGAATATCTTGCCAGCTGCTTTTGGTGTGGGCTTTGCTTTAACTGACTGCTGCTCTGTGGTGCATCAGTGAGGCCTGAAAGCACCTCTAAAGCACCTCTGACTGTATGGACTGTAGGAGCCTGTTGCCCTAAAAAGCAACCTATTTACAGAGAGTAGTTCTTGCAAGTTGTCAACCCAAATGGCAAGATGTTCCTAATTTACTTTTTAGGCACAAAGCCAGCACATGTCCCCACTAAAAGTAAGGCTTTCCTAGATGAGATCTTCCAGCCAGCTGGGGAAGCTGAGCTTGTAGTAGACCTATCATGGGAGTGGAAGAGGGTACTGTCCTGCTTGTGCAGCCCTTGTCAATGCAAGACTCAACTTGCTGTTAGAACTTCATGTGCTTCTGTAGCAGTCCTCAGTGCAAGGACGCTAGGTACTTGTCCACTTGTAGAGCACTCAGGTTTGGTAAGGAGAATGTGCAGGCTCTGTAGCAGTCAAAAAAAAAAACACAAAAAAACCACAAAAAAAAAAACAAAGGCAGACTTATTTCTAGTTTCTTCCTTAAAGGCAACTTGGCACCTCCTAAGCCATGTTCATATGAAAGTAACAGCCCCTGATGATGGTCCTTTGGCTGCTGCTCAGCCTTTTCCCAGATGAAAGGATGCGGCTTTTGCTCTGTTCCTGGGCTGTTGTCACTTGCGGGAGAATGGAAGTGAGAGATGTTAAAGGTTGGTATCTGCAGGTCCTAGGTAGGCATTCATGTTGAATTGCTCAGGCTGTCACTTGTAGCTTTGCATTAGCAGACACCTGGTTAGCAATGTCTGTGTGACCAGGTGGTTGGAACCAAGCTGTTGTTACTAGATGGTATTGGTAAAATTTGTTCAGTGCCACCTTGAGCTCCTGCTGCAACTGGAGATTGAGGCTTTGTTACAAAGGGTGTCTGGACCACTTGGGTGCTCTGCAAGTGGAAACTGTGATCCTGGTCAACTAATGACAATTGCAGACTATCTGCCTTTCCTCAGGATGAGGCCTTGCATTTTCAGGGTAGCTGAACTGGAACAAATTCATGTGTCTACTCAAAGCCTCAGCTAAACTTGGCTTGATAAATCATGGCAGGGTACAGTGTGACCATGGGGCAAATGATATATGCCAGTCCGGTGTGCTTGATCCTGTAAGAACAGGACAAACATCCAGTGAGCATCTTATTTCAGTGGTTGAAGGTCTAAGCAGACATAACCCCCTAAGGTGCTAAACATGCTAGGGAGCTTGCTACTTCTGGGAAGAAACTGGTTCAGTCTGACTGAGCTGGTCCTGAATCATTCTTCCAGCTTGAGTTTCCTTGAAGAAATGCAGAACTATTGAAGGGGGAGAATAAAAATAGCTCTTTAGTGCAGTACAGAGACTTAATGCTTTGCAGCCTCCTCCATGTGAGAAAACAGTGAGCAGAGGTGGTGTTTCTGTGTCAGAAATGCACTTAGCTGCATTTTAGGATGCTTTTCCTGCATTTCAGGGCAGAAAGGTCTTCCAGTGTTCAAGTGTGGCTGTCTTCTGCTCAGTCTGGTCAGTGTGGTGAGCCCACTGCAGTGTGTGGTATCCCCTAATGGAGTACAGCTCTATCCATATTGGGTTTCTCAAGGTTAGGTGTTTTTACTAAAGGTCCTGTGATATAGTGGGGAAGTGAATGCTCTGCTTATCAACCACAGCACCCAGAACAGACCTGCAGTGCTTCAGGTTCAAATGTGCCCTTTTGTGGAACACCTACTTTACTCATGTGCTGCCTGCTGGGAGAGGGGAGCAGAACTAGGTATTCATAGTCCAGCAGTGAGTTTAGCTCTGCTTGATGCTTGCTCACCTACTGCTTTGTGCCCTGTTGGCATAGTGTTAAATATCCCTGGCAAAGGACACAAGGTGAGAGGTGTAATCTGACAATTTTGCTTCAGTGTTCAGCTTATTTCTAGCAGAAAGTGCAGATGGCAGACTGGTAGATGCAAAAGCAGAGAGCTCCTGGTCAAATGTACCAGTTTTTCTAGCCTCTGCATAAACATGCTTTGGTTCTTGGTTAGGATTGTGACTTGAACTTTTTAATAGCAAAGCTCCAACAGTAAGGACTGTTCCAGCAGCTTGTCAACAGGTTCAAAACTGGTATGGATATGCCACTGCTTAAGGAGCAGTTGTCTTCCATGGAGGTGAGATTCCCCCCCAAGGCTAGCTACCATACTAAAACTGTGCATGAGCAACTTAACAGGGTGTTCCTATTGCAAGGCCTACTTCTGTTAAAGGATAAAGCTAATCCAAGAGATCTGGTGGGCCATCAATGCAAGCTCCTACTGTTCTTTGCTTTTACCAACCTAATTAATGCTAAAATGCCTGCATTGTGACTTGACACGTGAACATCTCTAAGGAATCCTTAACCATCCCTTTCTGCTTTGAGTTAAAGCTGCTGTCTTAATATAGCAAGTGAAAGGACAGTTGTAATGTACTCTGAAGCAAGAAGGGAAGCCTAATTAGATTTGGCATAGGCTTTATTTGCTTTTGTATCTGAGGAGCTGTAGCACTATGGAGTGTTATAGGACAGTTTTTGACTCTTCATTTCAGATCAGCTAAGCCAGAAACACTTGCAGGTCAGATGTTGGGGGTTCTCCCTTGCTACTCCAGCAGGCCAGTGTTAGAAAGGTAATACTGTGGGAGAGAGCATGCTATACCAGGCTTAATCTCATGAGGGTCAACATACTGTTAATGGCTTGTTTGCTTAAATGGATAGGCATTAAAAATTGAGTGGAAGGACTCCTCTCCAGTATTAGAGGCAGCTGTGTCATTCCTTTGGTACCACTTAAGCCAGGAGGAGGAATGATTCTGACTGGTGTCCTGATTGACAGAAAATTCCTGATGGCTGCTGAGCAGGGCTAGCTGGGTGTGCTGGTAGGCTGTGTTCTGAGCAGTCATGCAGGTGACCTCGCTCCAAGAGACTTCACACAGTGTAAAAGAGAACTGATGTCTTGGATCAAATCTTAACAAACAGGTTTTTCTTCATGATATCTCTAAAAAAGGAAGTGTTTGTTCAGAAATGCTTCTGGGACTGGATCCGAGCCCTGTGTGAGCTCGCACACTGCCATCTTAAGGGCTTATGTGACTCTTACAGGATGCTGCTTCAGAGTAATTATACCAAATATCATAAAGCAAGACAAGCTGCATGTATAGGTGCAAAATAGTCTTAGACTTGGATACCACTGACTCACCACTGTCACAGTTTTGATCTCAACTCAAGCTGAGCCTGGTCTTTGCAAGAGCATTGGGGAAACCCTTGTGCAGCCTATATCTCAGCTTAGCTTAGTAATTTAATGTTTCTTGCAGGTGTGACTGGAGAAACTCCTCATGTGAGAGAACTGTTCCTTCAGGTATTCAAACTTGCTTTGTCTGTGAGCTAAAGCTATATTCTTTGTCTCCCTTAGATTTTTTTTTTTACTAGCAAGGTTTACCAGAAATGAGATCTATGTAGCTTAGAGCATGTATGTGGGCTCCATTTCTGGGACAGAAGGCAGTAATCAACCTACTCGATGCCATATAATGTGAGAAACAGCCTGTGTTAACAAGGGAATAATCATAAACTGCCTCTGACTTCAGGCAAGCAAATGTTTGAGTACTGAACCTGGCCCAGGGTTGGTTAGTTGTGCCTTGTTCTACTGACACAGCAAATGGCATGCTGTAACCAGGATCAACTGAGGTATTTCTGAGCTTACTTGAACTGCAGTGTGTGGAAGCATCCTCTGCCATGAACATGTTGTATTTGCTGTTGGCTTAGTATGAACTGAAGTCACCAAAATCCTTTGCATGGTGTTAAGGAGACTGTAGTAAGGCTTCGCTTACAGGACCTTCAGAGAGCACTAGTGTCTTTCACTGCTAGTGTCTCAGCTTGTTAAAAACACTGTGGCTGGAAGCAAACATTGAAAGAGGCATGGTGTCCTGTCCTTGGCCTTTGGGCTGCTTCATAAGAAAACCCCACTTAAGATAATGGGGATGTCTTCAATCCATCTAGATTGAAGATCTTGCTAGGACCAGTCAGACCTCTGTCTAGCACAAACAGTTGCTTTAAAGCTGGAGCTGCTGTTGGAGACCTGCTTGGCCACACAGAACATGGTAAAGATAAAGGAAATAGTAAAGGTGGTGCTGTAGAGAGCAACCTGATGCTACTTAGAGGGGTTTCTTTCCTTAGGAAGCCTCCAGGAGATCAAACACTAGTACTTCCTTTAAGACCTGGAGATGTGCCTCTCCAAAGGCAAGGTCTCCTTCTTGTACTGGGCAAGGAGTAATGCTGAAGTATTAGTCTGTTTATACCTGTAATGAGAAGATTAATAAGAGGGCTTGGCCCATCAACTGACTGGGCTTCAAAGCAGCATTGATCAAGCCTAGTAGAACAGGGGTGGAAAACTCTGGGCACTGTCCACTGCTGGCCCTTGGCAGGACTGGAGTTCCTCACTGTCTCATGGCCCAAACCAAATACCAAGCTGAGGCAGCTTTTTCTGTGCTATGGCTCATATCCGTTGCATAACCTGGGATGGAGGCTGAGTGTCTCACCTGACCGGTGTTCATGAGGCAGTAATAGCCCTTCACACTGATGAGGTAGCCCGTCAGCTATGACAAGAAGACAGTGTCAGGTCTGACTCAGACTTCCTTCCCATGTCTGCAGCTGAGCTACTTCCAAGGTAATGAGACTTGACAGAGCAGTTTCCCCTCCCTTCATAGTGGGACTTCAGGCTGTGTTGAACTTGGGTGCTAAGCACCCAGTGTGATTTAGTGTTGTAATTTAGGGCTCTGCAAATCCTTCCCTGAGCATGAGAACTAATGCCAGCTTGTCCAAAGCTGCTTCGAATACCAGGAAGCAGTAAGCTGCAGCAGCCAGTGGCAAGCAATACTGAAAACACTCAGAGAAAAATAGAAGCAGTACATGCTGGGTTCTGGCACAGTTGCTTCAGGGTGAGTTGTTTTCCTCTGTCTTGAGGAAAACAGGTGACTCTCACAATGAACCTGAACCTATAAAGATGTTTTCCATGACAGTTCAGTGTACACAGCTGTCTTTAAGCTGTTTCAAAGCTCTGCTTACTTGCTTCTTGCTCCATCTGGGCTGATTGTGCTGCAAGAGTCTCTGGCTTGGCTAGCATGTGTCACTTGTGCTATGTGCTTTGAAAACACAGGAGGTGCCGTCTGCTTGAAGGAGCTTACATGGACTGTTCTCCCCATGGCTATAGAGGAGACAAGCTATAGAGTGTGGATCTTGGCAAGAGCAGAAGCAGTACTAAATGGTGGGGTTGTTGACAACTTTCAGCTGGCTATATCTTTGGTAGTATAGCTGGGCTGCCAGTTGGATCATTGAGCAATGCAGTCCAGCATAGACAGCCTTGGAAAAGAGAGGTGTTTACACTTGGAGAAACTGTCCTGTGCAGGCTCTCTGGCATCTGTTAACACCCGTCTAAGGATAGCATGAGCTCTGTGGGTGGCCTGTCACTGCTGCTCACTCAACAGCCTCTGGCTGTTATCTTCTCAACAGTGTTTCCCATCTAGATGTATCACTAGATGCATGAGGTGGGTGCAGTCCAACAAGGTGTGGCTGAAAGTGCACCACTACCTATGTCAGCTGCAGGAGGGCTTTTTCAGTGTCTGCAGCATTCACTGATGGCAAAGTCTAAAAGACTGCATGTCTTTTAACACTCAAAGCTTGAGATGATTAAGACCTTTTGCAACTGGACTCTGCATCTAGTAAGAGGCTCCTACAGCTTGGAGCATGTTATCTCCAGTAGTAGTGGGATGAAGTGGGTTGCAGTTATCTAGCAGCTGAGACTGTTGTGTATCCCAGGAAATGCATAGGACCAAGCTGCTCAGAAGATGTATATATCCATGTTGTTGTAGAAGTGAAGGCCTCCTTAGCGGTGAAAGCCAGGAATAGCTCCTGAAGAGTAGGAGTTGTGTGGTGTAATGAATGTGGTGTAGCAGGATGGGAATTTTAGGGTAACCAAGTCCCTATATAAGGGCTTAATACATGAAGCCTGTGGTCAAAGGGTCTTTGAACTCAAGTAGCACAGCTATAACTGTCTTCCAGCTCTTCTTGCTGTACAGAACCTGCAGGGTTCTTCAGGAAAAGCCAAGGAGTCCTTGTGTTGTGGACGAGGTCAGTTCCAAACCAGGGTCTGTTATCTGATCAAGCCTGAGCACCTAAGAATGGTTTGTCCCATCCATTCCCCAGAGGTGGGGAGAAGGGCCTCATGGTAAGAAGGGCATGCTCAGCCACTAATAGCAAGACTTTGTACTTGCTCTCACTGTGCTAAAGCACATCCAGAAGTGTATTCGGGGCTGCTGCAGCTGATGTACTTCTAGCTTCTTCACCAATCTGAAGGAGACCTGGGAGCAAGTAAGAGTGTGGATCTCTGGAGTTCAAATCTCTCTTGCTAATTGGATGGACCATTAGTGGCCCATTCAGAGCCACCTGCCTATAAAGTGGACTGGAGTCATGGCAGGATGCAATGGAGCAAACAGCTTGTCATCTGACAGAGCAATAGACTGAATGTTGTGAGTTTTATTGCTGTAGCCTACTTGTCCTTCCACCAAAGGTGAGGTGGCAGTAGTTAGCTTCATAGCTCTCAGCAAAGCTGTGGAGTCTGGTAGCAGTTTGCCTTGTAATTCAGCTGTTCAGCTGGCCTGTGTCGTTGTGTTGTGACTGCTTCAACCACAGTGTATCCTTGGGACTCAACACTTTCACAAAGCACAGCTGCTAGAGAAAGCTATTGCTGAACCTGAAAGGTTCTTTTTTTTTGTTTTATTTTTTTCCACTGGGAAACTACTGAACAGCATACAAAAAGCTTGAGTGTGGTATTAGACACATCTTGGCTTACATCTCACTTAGTAGCATGTATAAGAACTAGTCTGTGTTGGGAGCTGATATGCTTTACTGCACTGCCTCCAGTGAGGCTAAGGGAGATGGCCTAGGTGAGTAGGCCACAAAATGGCCTGGAAATAGGGTCCAAAATGGATGTGGTACTGTAAAGGACAAGTGCTTGGCTCATCTACCTGTTGGTATTAAGTTGCTGCTACTGGTCTGACATGGCCCTGCCTGTGAAATGGACAAACACCTGGTTAGTGCTCAGGTGTAGCCTTGAATTGAAGGAGTCTGGTTTCAGGAGTGCTGGGCCCTGCCCTTTGCTGGTTCCTTGCTGGGAGTCAGGTTTCTCAGACTCCAAACTTGCTGCTTTCTGCCTTGAGGAATAACATGCTAATGGTGTCTGATGGGATTGTTGCTCTTCCTTTCTAGTGTAAAAGATGACTTCTAGGAAGAAAGTGTTACTGAAAGTCATCATCCTTGGAGACTCTGGGTAAGTGAAGGAGCCTTTAAGTTGCCAATCTGCACCTACCTGGAGTGGTGTTCTTGGCTAGTAGAAGCCTGGATGCATTGTAAGAAACAGCAGTGCTGGGAGGAGATATTTTACAGCCCCAGATAGTTGTGTTACCTTATAGCTTTAAGAACTCTTCACTAACCTGGGTCCTGAATGTGTCCCCACAATTTAGTATCTTGAAGTCCTGCCACAATATTAAACAGGGGAAATCTGGTGGGCAGGCCACTCCAGTAGCAGAACTGAATAGCCTTTCTGCAAGGAGGACATGTGGTGTTGAAATGTGCATTTCACTTTAAAAAAAAAAAAAAAAAAAAAAAAAAACCTGCTAGTAAGCAATCTTAGGTGACTTCTTAAAACTCTGTCTCTGTCAGACATAGTTTATACTGAGCCATCTGCTTAGCTTCTGTCTGATCTGGCTAGAGCCTGCCCCTTAGAGTGAAAGGCTTTGCTCTGTGCTGTTGAGCAAGGAGTCTGCTCAGCTGTTATAGGTTACTTGTGGTGCAGGCTGTAACCTGATTCCCATGACATAAGGCTTATTTATACCACTGTGCCCAGCAAGCTGTTGATCAGGGAGTGTTTTTCAGCCACAGAGAGGGCATGTGAGCCTCTAAGCTGGCTCTCTGGGGAAGATCTCCACTTCTGGGTGCCTAGCAGATGTGTATGTGAGCTGTTGCCAGCTGAGATTGTCTGTTCTTCCACCTCCTCCTCCTGCAGAGGCTGAAGATGACTGTTTCTGGTGGGTTTCTCTGGGGCACTTCATGTTCTTCCAAAACTGCCCTCATGATCATAATGTGATACATACTCCTTACTGAGGATCAGATTACTGGTGGGGAAACAAGGTTTCTAAAGATTGTAATCCTTTGTATCCTTAGGTAGCTAATGCTCTTACTCAGCATGTTGCCTCAGCATCTGTTTCTATAAAAGCCCCTTCTTGCAGAGGTGGGTGCATTTTCCCTGGTTGAAAGGCCAGGAGGCTATGGTGGAAGGCAAAGGGCACTGGGATGTTCTGTTCAGGGTGGTTAATTCAAACACTGTTATAGAAACAGCCTACTTAGTCTTTTTTGTCTTTCTGTGCAGGGTGGGAAAGACATCGCTTATGAACCAGTATGTGAACAAGAAATTCAGTAACCAGTACAAGGCTACGATAGGCGCAGACTTCCTGACAAAAGAGGTCATGGTGGATGACAGGCTAGTGACAATGCAGGTAAGGAGTGACTGCTCTCTGCTGCAAGGGGTGCCTGGCTGCCTAGGCCACACTTAAGTGGAAGTATCTGCTCCAGTGTAGTCCAGAGTGGTGCAGGGGTCAGTATACTGGGTGTGAATCTTGTTTGCACTGAACAGGTCTTGGCCATAGGTGCTGCTGGGCTTCTCTACAAATCTGTGCATGGGCTGAACAAGGGAAGGCAAAGATCAGTTTGGGCTCAGCTAAGAGCGGCTTCGTCAGGCCCAGTTTAAAAACAGCATTTGGTACTGTCAGTAAACTAGATCTTGTTAGAAAGATGCACTTCCCTAGTGTTCAGTAACTGGAAAGGGCTGGGAAAGGACTCCTTAGGTCAACTATTCGTGCTGCTGTGAGTCCTGTGGGTACAATGTTAACCTGCCAGTCTGCTTAAGTGTCTTGTATCTGAAGCTTCCATCTCTCTGTGGTGAAGCTGACTGCAAGGCAGCAAAAGCCCTGTTGCAGCCATCAGAGGAGTGTTTGGACTGTGCTGGTACCCAAGTGCACCCAAGCACTGCAGGCAGGTCACCTGCTGACCCTAATACCAAAGTCCTGCTTGCCCAGAACAAGGATATCTCCCTTGCTGAGGCTGAACACAAAAAGGGTTAGCTATCTTTAGAAGGGTGTTTCTGGCTCTTGATACTTAGTGCCTACAGAAATTCCCAAGCCTTTAGGTGCTCCTCTCTGTCTAGCTGGGGGCTGTAGATGCCTGCTGGGGAGTTTTGAAATGAATGCCCTAATTGTGGACTGACTGTGTCAGAGTAGAGCTGGCTTATCTGCCTTGTCTTTTGCTCCAGATATGGGATACAGCAGGACAAGAACGATTTCAGTCTCTGGGAGTTGCCTTCTACAGGGGAGCAGACTGCTGTGTGCTGGTGTTTGATGTCACGGCCCCCAACACATTCAAAACCCTAGACAGCTGGAGGGACGAATTCCTCATTCAGGCCAGTCCAAGGGATCCTGAGAACTTTCCTTTTGTTGTGCTGGGAAACAAGATTGACCTAGAAAACAGACAAGTGAGTACTGGGACTTGCTAGCCTCCTCTTAAGAAATTGCTGGAGTGGGAGACCTTGAAGGAACACAGGAGGGTTATCTGAGAAACAGGAGTGGGAGGTGCCTGAGTGTGGCTCAGCTGTTGTGTGCCACTGGGGAAGAGTTTCTCCTGCCTGGAAACATCAAACCCCTGTGCACAGCATACTCCTGCCCACTGGTGGAAGGATTGCAGCAGCTTCCTGGGTAGGTGCAAGGAGAGGAGCTGATTCTCCTCCTTCAGAATTGCTGAGAAACTCCTATAGGAGCAAGTCCCTGCTCTGCGGATGCCTGAGCAGTCTGTGCCCTCATCTTCCTCAGGCATGGTGCTCCCTGCCCTGGGGCTGAGTGTAGTTGGTGGTGGGCAGCAGTCTCCTGTGCTCTCTATCAAGGCTGTAGTTTTGATGAGGTCAGATCTGCTGTCTTAGCTCAGGTTGGATATGAGCAGTATCTGGCCTTGCCCTGGAAATAAACCCCCCTTCCTGTGTAGCTGAAGGTGGTGATGCTGCTCTTTGTCCACCCAGGTCACCACAAAACGGGCGCAAGCCTGGTGCTACAGTAAAAACAACATCCCCTACTTTGAAACCAGTGCCAAGGAGGCCATTAATGTGGAACAAGCTTTCCAGACGATTGCACGAAATGCACTTAAACAGGTAGGGAGAGGGCTAGTGGTTGCCCTCTGTCAGTGCTGGTCCTGCCTGCTGAGCTCAGCTGTTGTGGGCAGCTGTGGGCTCTCCAACGGTTTTCCCCAGCCAAGAATGGCTCCTTGCATGCTAGGAGCTGTCCATAGAGCCACGGCACTAACTCTTCCCTTCTCTCCCACTAGGAAACCGAAGTGGAGCTTTACAATGAATTCCCCGAACCCATCAAACTAGACAAGAATGACCGAGTGAAGGCTTCTGCGGAGAGCTGCAGCTGCTGAGGGGAGAGGGAGGGGTTGAGCACAGTCCTTCACAAATGAATATCACACTTAGGCCTTCAAACACACAGCCCCTCTTCTGTGTTTAAAACGAAATTTAAAAAAATTTCCATCTCCAGCTGCCAAAATCCACCCATCTTCCATGAGCATCTGTGAGTCCCGTACTTCAGAGCTCGTGTCCCCACACCATCCACATCACACTTCACGGTAACAGACCTTTCTCTTAGTTTAAAATGGAAACTCTTATGTATGTTTGGAACTGAATCTAATTCCAGGTGTCCAATGGAGAGAAACTGTTTACAGGTAATCTGTGTAACAAGTTACATACATTTTTAACTGTCTCGTGTTTTCCCCTGTGAAGGCTGCAACTGGAAAGGCTGATTACCCATAGTTCATTGCAAGCTCAGCACTCAGTCCAACTAGGTTGAGTTTTGTATGTATCTCTGTTAATGCTTGTTACTTTTAACTAATCAAATCTTTTTACAGTATCCATGTATTATGTAATGCTTCTTTAGGAAAAATCTTATAGTACATGTTAATATATGCAACCAATTAAAAATGTATAAATTAGTGTAAAATTCCTGAATTACATGTTCAAGTACTGAAACACAGATTGTGTAGAAAGTGAGGAGGACACTTGTGAACTGCAGCGTGCTAGCAACACAAAGTCCAGATAGAGGCAGTATTCTGTACAGTGGAGATGAACTATGTAAGCCTTCTTGTTTTGAGGCCAAAAAGGCTTCATCTTCTGGAAAATCTGTCTGGCTTCCTTGTATCTAAATTCTCAGATTTGCATAACAGCATTGATATGCACACTGGATTATTGGATTTAAAATTAAATACAGCTATGAAATGACCTCATTTGTTCACCTCCCCTACTGCTTAAGTCCTAACATCCTGGAGCAAGTGTGAGAAGAAGCCAGAGCTGAGGTGTCCCAGTGGCTCTTTGTACTGTGGAAGGAGCTCCTCTCCCATCTGGGTTGTGGTAGCTGTTTCTTGATGAATGACCTGGACTATGATCTTCCCTTTCTTCTTACTGACTGCTAATCTGGATTTTTGGTATGGAAAAACTTGGCAATCTAGTCCCTTTCCTCTCTTCCTTTCTTCCTGGTATTTGTTCTTGCGTTTGTAGCTTGCTTAAATGGAGCCCTTCTACCTGTTTTCCAGAGGTCTACATTCTAGTACGTAGGCTGAGCTCTTATGTAAAGAGACAAACATGATGCCAATAAACTTAACAAGAACAAACCTTCTTGTTTACTCCTGTTCCTGACTCTCTTTTTTTTCCTTCACTAACATCCTTTCTTTCCTCTGTCTAGTTGCCATTTTAGCAAGCCAGTGCCTGCTAATTGAAAGATGTTTGTGCTTCCTCCTTACTATAAAGTCTGTGCCCTCCAGATGGTTTTCAGGAGTGGGTTGAGCAGGCCCTGCTTGCTTGGCTGACCCAAAACTGTAGGAGGGCAGCTATCCCTCTGCTTTTCTTGAAGCTGCTTGCAGTGGCAGGAATGCTGCTGGATCTGATCACTCTCCCATGAGCGTAGTCCTTCAGCCCTGTCCTGGGCGTATGAAAACCTTTGTGGAAGGGTGGAGGGGAGGGCAGTGCTGTTAAAGCTCTTGCTACCCTCCTGTGGGAGGGGTTGGTGAGAAGAGCAGGCTGAGCCCTTCCCAGCTCACCAGTTAGGTGCTTCAGCTGGAGGGGAAGCAAGGCTGGCATAGGGCACCTTAGAGTGAGTTAAGGTGAAGCCTTTAATTTCTAGATGCTGGGCATGACCCTCTACTTGCACTCAGCAAGGCTGAGCTCACTACTCATGCCCACAGGAAGATGGAAAACAATGTATAGAGAAATGAGGCCAGTTATTTCAAGAGCCTTCTAACAGTCTTTGTGCTCTATATCCTATTTTATGGCTTTGTCCTATCATGCTTTTCTCTTACTTGACTGGGCTTTTGCTGTCTACATCAGTTTCAAATAACTACTCTGCAATAGCAATGTGTCCTGGTGGGACCACTTTCCTGTCTGCATCTTTTTGAAAGACTCAGACCTTCTGCTCATCTCCGTTTAAAGCATCACTTGGCATTTGTTTTCTGTAGACACAGTTCTAGTGTGGAAGAAGCCAAGCTGGGGGAGGGGGGAGCAGTAACTATAAAGTGATGTTTTGGGGAAAGAGGATGGTCTTAACTCTGCACCTGCCTCCTGCTGTTTTGACCTTGGGTGGTAGAGCTGAGGCTGAAAGGGCTGCTGCATGGAGCAGCTGTAGATGAGCCCTGAAGAGATCCTGTGTTTAATCTCTCTCCCATTGAATAAACTGGCAGTGACACGGCAAAGGGAGAGTGCTCCACAGGGCGTAGGACAGCTGTGGAGCTCCTTGCCACAGGATGTTATGGGTGCTAAAGGGGAGGGGAGGATTCCATTTACAACCTACAAACCAATCTTTTCACAGGTGGGAATATGATATATATGCATACAAGTGTACAAAAAAGAGTGTAGGAGGCAAGCAGTGTGGCAATTAGTGCCCTGCTGTTACACTCAGGGCTGATGCTGTCACAGATGGGGACTGGTGCTCCTGCAAGAATCACTTGTCATCACTGTGGTCTGAAGAAGCCTTGGACTGGAGAAGCTGACTGGACTGATTGTGCCTGCAGGGTACAAGTGTGCTTGAAACCACTGTTCAAAACCACTCCTAGCATCAATGAGGCCTCCTGGCTTTTACTTCTTTGCTGACCTTTTTGCCTGAGGAGTTGCAGGTGCAATGATGATGTGTGCAAGGGTGACTTGCTGCTGGGCAAATTGCAGAGGAAACCTTGCCCTGGAAGAGGCTGAGGGGTTCAGCCGATGCACCGAGGCAGCTGAGCTCGAGGGCTGATTTTGCTCTTTGCCCAGGTCCTGGCTGGGCAGGAGGGAGAGACCTGAAGAAGGAGGCTGGCTGGTGCAAGGGGAGGGGGACTGTTCCCCAGCCCACACCATGTATAATACGCAATAGCTACAACCAGTGCCCTGAATTTGCAAAGTGGTGTGATCCTGGCCCCTGCCAGTGGGTAAAACTGTGAGGTTGTGGCAGGGCAGCCAGGTGTGGGGCTTGGCGGCTGCGGCTTCTCCCTGCCAAGGGCTTGGAGCCATTTGTGAAGGCAGCTGTGTTTTGCGAGACGCTGGTGCAAATATGAAAGCCGGGGAATCGCGCAACGCGCATCTGTGCTGCAGGGGCTGTGTGGGGGGAGTAGCCTCAAAGAAATTAAAGACCGACCACCGTCGCATGGAAAGCAGCCCAGAGATGCCAAGCTGCGAAGCCTGGGGCGGCAAAGCTCGGTGTGTGCCTTGGCAGCGGCACTCGGGTGGGCTTTGCAGCTGGACGTGTCCTGCATCGCTACCTGCCCTGACCCTGCGGTGGGAGCCCTCCTGCCTGCCCAGCGCCCGCGGGCGGGCAGGATGCCAGCTGTGTCCCTGCACACCTGGAGCCCCCAACGGCTGCTGCCGCTGCCACCAGCCCCCGCTGCTGCCCCAGCCCCCAGGTGTGCACAGAACCCCCACCCGGCATGCACCCCGGTGTGCTTGTAGGGAAATGTGTGATACAAGCACAAAGACGTGTTCAGGATCCTATAGGTACACAGAAATATGTTTAGCTAAACATCTGTGTGTGTGTGGTTTACCATTCAAACACATTTACACAAGCAGTAATGTGTATATGTATATATTTATCAAGACGCATCTTTTGTGGGCTACAGAGCAAAAGAGCAAGGAAGCACAAGAGCACAAACAAGACAGCATGGACACAGAGAGTGTGTGTGTGTATGCGCACGTGTGTGTGTTGCAATATTCTACTTACACAGACATATCCCAAGGCTCGGAGACAGAGAGCACGAGTGAGTTTAGTTATAGGTTTCCATTTATGAGACATACGTGGTTGCAGGCCTACCAATTTACACACATGCAACATAAAGTATTTCTTCATATACATATATATTCAGAGAAAAAAAAATTATCTCACACACAGATATGGCTACCCTCATTTTATTTACATATTTACATCAAAACATTTAAATACGAATGTATAGATGTAGATATAGATATACACACATACAAATATGTGTATGTCTATGTATTATCTCACCCCCATATATGGAGAGACAGAGGTGATCATACACACTCAGACACATTTGAAATTATTTTATACTTATATGCTTATATTTGTATGTGTGCATGTGTGTTTTTTCTCTTTCTCTCTCTCTGTCTACACACATAGATACCCCCCTATATTTTATTTTTTAATATTTATACACTTATGTATGGTTTATATCTATTTTATACATATTATTTACATATATTTATATATTATTTCTATATTTCAGTGTTACATATATAAATGGGTCATATACATGCAGGTGCGTGTGTGTGTGTAGGTTAGCTATTTTTAAATTTCTTTGAGAAAGGGGGAGGGAGACAAGGACACAAAATGAAAGAAAATACAGACACATAAATAAATATTTAAATAAATTCGATATAGAGATGACTATGGGGATATCTGCATCTGAATTGGGAGGGGGGGAATGACCAGCTGCCTTGCAGTCTCTCCATATACAGAGACACACGCAGACAGAGAACATATATCAAGATCGATATACACAAACATATATGTGCGTCCCAGATATTATATATGGAGGCGGAAGAGAGAGTAGGAAAGATCACAGTCTCGCACATACAGATATCCCACATGCATTTTTTGGGAGGGGTGGGGGGGGGGGGTACCATTCTCTTTGTAGGTCTTTCTCTTGGGGGGAGGAGGGGAAGACAGAGAGAATGGTAGAAAATACAGACAAACACACACAATTAGTTACATATATAAGTAATCACTTAAAGTATATGTGGCAGGGATATGGGGAATGCTCTGTTTCTGTGTGTGTAAATAGTGCGCACGCTCTCATATATATATATGTGTGTATATATATACATGTATAGCAAGAGAAAGAATATGTGTGATCAGCTCACTGTGTAAGTATGTATGTATATATGCAGAAAGAGAGAGAGGGTATTTTGTGTCTAAGTATATATGTATAGATGGGGGGATACTATGTGTGTGTCAACAGTTCTAATTATGTATGTTACAATATATAAAATCATATATTTATGCATATGTGTGCGTATCTATATATAGCGAGAGAGAGTTGTGTGTTTGTGTGAACAGTTCTCTCTCCATGAGTATATATGTATATGTACAGAGAGAGCGGTGAGTGAACAGGTCACTCTCCCCTCCATATGTAAGTATATATGCATGTATATGTGTGTGTGTATGTATTTGTAACAAGAGAAGTATGTGTGTGTGAGATCAACTCTCTGTATATACATATGTGTATATATATATAGCAGGAGACTTCGTGCGAAGAGATCTCTATCCCTTTCTAAGGGTATATATGTATATACATGTAGTGAGAGACTGATGCATGTGTGTGAACAGCGTGCATGCACTCACTGTATATACGTGTGTGTATGTAAACAGTGCTTTAATTATATATGTATACATATATATATAAAGACAATTATGTGTGTGAACAATCTCTCTATATGCATCTGTACAGGCATATCTGTAACAAGAGAGAGTATTGTGTGAGCACAGCTATCGCTTGCTCTCTACATGTGTATATGCATAGAGAATATATATCAGGATATAAACATATATCTGTATATATTTACGACCCCAGAGAGTATACATGGGGGAGGGGGGCGAGAGATAGAATGAAAGAAAATGTGTGTGCATGTGTTTGAAAAGCTCTCACTCCTTTTCTCAAGTATATAGACATATCTGAATACATACACACATACATCAGGAGAGAATAATGTGTGTGAATGGCTCTTGCTCACTCTGTATATGTTTTTACATGAACAGCTCGCTAAGTATAGATGTATGTATTGGGGGGGGCGGGTAGAGAGTGTGTGTGAAAAGCCCTCTCCGTCTATATATGTTCATGTATGCACATATAGATGGAGATTAAGGGGGGGTGGGGTGTGAACAAGGCACTCAAAGTATATATGCCTCTGTGTGTGTGTATATATAAAGATAATTAAGTTTGTATGCATGTTAACAGTCTCTGTGTGTGTGTGTGTGTATATATATATGCATCTATATGTGATACACATAGCCTGAAAAGTATTGTGTGTGTGAGAAGAGTTCTCTGAACAGCTCTCAGTATATATGTAGGGGGGAGAGAGCGGAAAAGAGAGAGTGAGACCTGTTACCTCTCCCCCTGCCAATATCTAAGTAT